ATGAAGCAAGAGAAAATCAGGGGAAGTAACATTTGATTGCATCCATTGCATAGAGAGAAAACAGCAAAACAATTTAATTTTGATTTCTTCTGGAGTCTTCTAACTAGGCATTTCCAGAGAAAAAATAAATTGCTGATAAAAGTCACGGGGCCTTGCTTGAGTAAATCCGGAAAACAAGAAGTCTGGGGAAGATTTGATTACCATTGACAGTAGAGATGAGGGATGTTCAAAGTCCTCTGTGCACCAAGGTTGGCTAATTACTGATTTTGGAGGGGGCTGGTTTGATTTGTTATATTTAGAAGGTATTTGGAAACCATGAGAATTTTAATAAGATACCTAATGTGCATGCGGCATTGCTGTGGCCCAATTGCTATAAAATTGGATGTATTTTGAAGAGGCAGCTATGGGAAAATTAGATATTAATTTCCAAAAACTGTGAAACACTGCCTTTAGAACAGTGATTCCCAAACTTTAGTCATCCAGGCATCATTTTCTTGATTTTTGCCATATCTTGGAACCTGCTTGCTCTTAGCCTTTCAGTATTTTTCTCAAATTATCTCATTTTAGATTTTTACTTTACAGGCAACTTCATACCAATCACTTAAATGTCCTAAACAGAAAGTGAATGTAAAAATAAGTACAATGAAAATGTAACTTTATTTAATTTGGGTGAAATGCCAGTGTAGCAGAAAGCTCTGTTCCTGTTCTTTGTTAAAAGAGCTTTGTCAAAACAAAAGAAAGAGTACCAAGTATTAGAGAGCTTGAAAGCCCCCAAGGCCCTAAACTTAGCCCGTGTTCTTGGTTTTATCAGGACTGTAAGGCAATTGGAAAGGGAGCCACACCTGCTCTCTCACTGTGTGATTCATTGTTCATTTCTGCTGTGTCCTAAAGGCATTTCCTTGTCCACCCCACACTTGGGAAAACATTGCTTTAGAACTGAGAAGAGACTTGCCACTTGCTCCAGAAAGCCAGGCTGGAATCAATGGATGGAAATGTGAAAGGGCACATGCTAGGTCGGCTTAACTAAGCCATTTCTGCAACAGCATTAACCACTGAGAGGACGAGGCAGCCTTAAAAAGTCCTGAGAGAGTGGGGATGGGGAGCTATTGGTCAGAGGGTACAAAGTCTCAGTCAGACAGGATGAAAAAGTTCCAGAGATCTATTGTATAGCGTGGCGACTATAGTTAATAACCATATATTGTATACTCAAAGGTTGCTAAGAGAATAGTTCTTAGATGTTCTCAGCACAAAAAAAAAAAAAGGTAAATGTATAAGGTGATGGAAATGTCAATTAGCTTGATTTAACCATTTCACAATGTAGACATGTCTCAAAACATCACATTTTCCACTTTATCAACAATACTTTAATTAAACATTTTTTTTTAATAATGAGAGTCCAAACTAGGCAAATCTATAGAGACAGAAAGTAGATTAATGGTTGTCAGGAGCTGGTGGAAAATAAGGAATGACTGCTAATGAGTATGGAGTTTCTCTCCAGGGGTAATGAAAATGTTCTGGAATTAGAAAGTAAACTACCTTGTGACTGTACTAAAAATCACTGAATTGATTACACATTGAAACGGTAAATTTTATGAAACGTGAACTATATCTCAATTGAAAAGTAATGGGAGCTCCTTATTACTGTCAGTATATGTGTCAATCTATCAGGGAGAGTAAGAAAGATGTCCTCTCCTTTGCCTTCTGAGTGAAGCTTCCATGCATAAAGCACTTAGCAGAGACTTCTTTAAGGCCACAGAATACTTGGATTGACCTCTTCATCAAGCTATATACCATTAGCCATTTCTGTATATGCTTTTCTTTCATAACGCCACACTCTTCCGGTTCCTTGAATGGGAAATTTTCCCCAAAGAGCCCTTCCCCCATGTGGCCAAGTGATTAAGAGTGCACACTAGGAGTCTGAGCTTTCAATCCTGGCTATGCTGCTTACTCTAGGTGTGTGGCCTCGTGAAAAGTATCCAGTCTACCTTAGCTTCCACCTCTGGAAAATGGGTTTGGAGAGAAGTAATGACATGACATGTGGATTTGTTGAAAGTATGCTGGTCCCTGACATTCTCTGCTATTAAGAGTTGATACTACTGGGCTTCTGTTCAACCTCCTGAATTCATTTCTTGACTCTCCTTTCTGCTCATTCACTTATGTTCCATAAGTAGACTCCTTTATTCCAAAGAACTCGACTACTTCCCAGGTTGGCTTCCAAATTGACATCTCTAGATCCTTCATTACTCCTGAACTCCTTCCTCACATTTTCAAACCTCTCTTGGTCATCTATTTCCCATAGGCACCTCAAATTCAACCCATGTGAAATAGAATTCATTGTCTCTTTCTCTGACCCCAATCTGTTCTTCTTCACCTTTTTAGAGCTAATTTGCCTTAAGCAAGATATCAGCCCCTATGCTGATGTGGTACTTTTTATGAATTATTGCATTTCATCCTGACAACAATTCTATATGCAATTATTTTTCTTCTTTTATATATGAAGAACTGGAGGATTAGAGAGGTTAATTAACTTGCCAAAGAACACTCAGGTATGAAAAGGTGGTACCAGGACTTGAATGCAGGTTCATCTAGGTCAAAAGCCCATTATCCTCCTCCTTCTGCCACAATATCTTCAAGCCCTTGGTGACTAGAAGAATTTTTCATGCTGTCTTCCAAATTAAATATTATTTTCTTTGATTCCCCCCACTTTCTCACCACTCCATTCAATCTATCACCAACCTGTCAATTCTACCTTGAAAAATATTCCTTAAATGTCTCCCTCCCTTTATTTCCAGAGCCACTTCTTTAGGGTGCTTGTTGGTTTTAATTGCTGGTAAGTTTCCATGAACTACTCTCCATCCAGTCCTCACATCATGCTACTGCAAAGGCAGTTTGGAAAATCAAAATCTGGCTGTGTTATTGCTCTTCTTAAGATTTTGATTGTTTAGATTGTTAGATAAAACCCCAAATCCTCAACATGGCACGGAAGGCTCTTCAAATATCTCCCGTCTATCCTTCTAGTCTTGTCCCCTCTGTTTCTACCTCTGTCTCCTTTCCTCATCCTGCCGATACATCCTTGTTGTGGGGAACTAAAATACACTAAATTTAATTAATTATATAAGGAATTGTTTCCTCATTTAACAAGCACTTATTGTAGTTTTGAAACTAGTCTAGTATTACACACTACTGAAAAAAAAAAAATAGTATTTGTGTTTTCTTCCCAGGAAGCAGATTGAGAAAAATAGCAGGCATATAATTAGCACACACTTAAATTATAAGATTATTGCATTATGTGACCCTTTTTACTTGCACTTTGGGGTTGGGCTATGAGATACATGCTGAATTTCTCCTTGGAAAGGAGAACAAAACCCTTCCTGGCAGTAGAGCAAAGTCTGGGCTTTCAAATGAGACGGACCTAGGTTGAATTCCAACTCTGTGGTTTATAAACTAAATGAACTTAGGCAATTTACTTAACCCTGAACCTCAGTTTTATCATAATTACAACAAATATAATAATATGAACTACTTCCCAAGAGTTTGGGGGATATTCAAATAAAGGTAATGTGTGTAAACAAGGTAACATTTTTTAAAAAACAGAATGTAAAGTGTTCAGCATATAATAAACACCCATGACCTCTCTTTCTCTCACAGCCCACATGGGCAAATCCTGTTGGCTCCACTTTTGAAAGGAATCCAGAATCCCATCACTTCCCACCACCACCCTGCTACCACCTTAGTTCAAGCCACCATTAAACTCCTACCTGAATCACTCCAACAGCCTCTAAACCAGTTTCTTGCTTCTGTTCCTAGTACCTGAAATCTAATCTGAACCCAGAAGCCAGAATTATCCTCTCAAAATGTGAATTGAATCTTATTATTCCTCAGCTCAAAACCCTCCAATGATTTCTCCTCTTGCCCTGTGCAGAAGGCAAAACCTTTAAAATGGCCCCACGGTTGTCCATGTCCTTCCCCACTTGCACCCTCCCCGACACCCACAGCTCTGAGCTTCTTCCTTGCTGGCCCCCTTGTTCTCTCAGCTGCATGCAAGGCTCCTAGTCCAGAACCTTTGCTCTAGCATTTCCTGTGCCTGGGTTGCTCTTCCCCCTGATGTCTGCACAGCTGTTTTGTTCCTGCTTTTAAGTCAATGCCCAAAAGTCCTTCTCCAGGAGGCCTTTCCTAACCACCTTACTGAAACTTACAATCCCCTCATGTCCCCCTTTATTGTTCTCCGTCCCACTCGCCACTTTTTAGCATGCCATGTAATTTATCCATTGTCTGTCTTCCCCTAGAAAAGTGCAAGTTCTAACAGAACAAGTTGTTTTGCCTGTTTTATTCACCACTATGTCCACTGAACTATGCCTGACAGTCATTGTCTTATTTTAATCTTTAAAATATGCTTTGAGTTCCCACCACTGTGTTTATACACATATATATGCATATACATATTTATATATTGATATTAATGTGCATCACATAATACATATATTACATATCTAATATATACATATTAGATATTTCAACAGTTTTTAATATATTTTATATATATATATATATACATATATATATATATATCTTGTTTTAAAAGTGAAGACATTGAGACTTGGCAAAGTTAAGTACTATCTAACTGTGCCCAAACTGGGAATTAAACCCTGACCCCAGCACACTCTCTCCGATACACATCTTCTAAATCTAACTCCAGTATACTCTCTCCACCTATATATCCTGTACAGAAAACATACACTGGAGATGTGCAAATATTTTTCTGGTACTATCAGCTTAATAATTTACACGCTTAAATTAGGGTAATTCGCATGACATGGACACATATATACTTTGATCACACAAATAGTGTGGGAAGAACTTTAGGTGAACTTTAAAAATATGGCTCATCTCTCTATCAAAATAACTGTCATCTCTGGAAATAACATTGGCCTAGGACCATATGGTTGCCACTGCCCATTTGGGAATGACGTTTCACTATGGAAAGGAAGGCTCAAACTCACCATTTTCATTGCAGTGGTCTGTATCCACCTTCCTGACCCCTTCCAGCCAGACGTCCTCACTTGGGGAAGAGTCTACATCACCAAAGAAACTCCCATGCAGCCAGGATTGAGAGGCACTGAGGTTGAAGAGTGAAGGAAGAGAATGGCGGATTCTCTTTTTCTTTCTAAATATCCTGGAGAGAAGTGAAAGTGTAGTGAACAATGAATAGCAGTCACCTCGGGTTCAAAACAGAATCTAGCAAAAGTGACTTGGTGCACAGAGCACATCTCTACAATCCAAGTCCATTCACTCCATTAACTCCACAGACGTTTCTCAAAACTCTACTGTGTGCAAACTCCTTGGATAAATGTCAAGAATACTGAGATTTTTAAAAAACAAAATTTTATGTGCAGAAAGTTGACAATGTACTATGGGAAAAAGACAAGAATAATGCTGATAGAGTTAATGTTTTCATAGAGCTTATTCTGTGCCAGGCGTTCTTCTTAGTGCTTTATGTGGATTAACTCATATTATTCTATCAAAACAGCTCTGTAAGGTAGACACTATTACTTCCCCATTATTCAGATCAGGAAACAGGCACTGAGAGGTTAAGTTACTTGGCTGAGGACATGCAGTTAGTAAGTGACATAGGTAGGCTGCAAACCCAGAGGGGGATGGGACCCTAGAGTCCTGATTTGGGCTTCTTCAATTTCTTTTTTGTTTCCTAATCTCATAAAAAAAATCTTTAGATGAGATCCCTTTTTCTTCAGTTAATAATGTAAGAAAGACTGCATTGACGTGGTTTAATTCCCAAGACACTCAGTTCTTTAGAGATGGGCCAAATGGCTGGTATCATCACTTACAAAAGTGTCTTGAACTTGATGGAGCTTATGTTGAAAAATAAAGTTTATATTTTTATTTTTATCTTTTAGCTCGATTTTTCCACAAACTTTTTGAAGTCTCCTTGTAAAGGTCTGGGGATCACCAATGTAGTAAATTGGATTATTGTTTAGGAAATATCAACAGGGGTAGAGAGTATTTTCCTGACCCTTACTTCAGCTTGCCCATGTGACTTGAACTGACCAGTGGGAAATTAGCAGACTGATACACACAGAGGCTTGACATGTACTTGCTGTTAGGGCATGTCTTCTTGCATTTATGTGACTACAGTGGGAAGAAAATTCTTCATGTTCACTGGTCCCAAGAAAAAGACTTATGTAGGACATACTTGATTCCAACATGAAGCCAAGCTTAGCCTAGTCCAGACTAGATCAACCTACCCCAACTGACTTCCAAACATGTGTGCATTCATTGCTATATGTCACTGAGAATTTGGAGTTATTTGTTACACAGCATTATTGTGTTAATAGCTGACTGATTGATACAGTCAGCATGTGGGTAGTTTTCAAGCAAAAGAAAATGAATATGATTGCCCAAATTCACTGATCCAAAATGAACACATTCATCTCTTTTCCTCCAAGCATGTCTCTCCCCTATTTCTGATCTTATTAAACGGTCCTATTATACATTCAGTTGAGAAAGCCAGAGTCCCAAGTTTCATGCAAGGGTCCTTCCTTTGCTGACCTCCCACATTCAAACAATGACCAAGTCCTATCTCTTTACCATCTCTTTCATCCATTTTCCCAATTCTTTTATCCTTGCTACTGACTTTCATTCAATCCATGTACAGAAAGCCTTCAGTTTTCCCATTCTATTCATTCTCTACTCACAAATCCACACTTCCAACAACTCGTCTTCTACATTGCAATTACTGTTATCTTTATAAGACTAAATCTGATAATTTATCAATGTCTCCTCCTTATCTACAGAATAATGCCCAAACTCCTTAGCCTGAAATTTAACCCCCTCCATCCAGCCCCTGCCTCTGATTTCAGTCTTCTTTCTCACAGAGCGCCCCTTCCCACCCTAAGTTGTATCCCTACCAAACTAATTGCCATTCCCCATGTTGTATCAGAGTCTCTCAGAACCCCATTCCCATGCTCTCTCTCCAGAAGACCTCTTTCCTACTTTTATCTTAACCAACATGCTGCCTTTTTCAAGATTCAATCAGTCATCACCACTTCCAGGAATGTTATTTTTTACCTATTCCCCAAGTAAAACATGCCTCCCTTCCTTTTCCCATCCATTGCACCCTGTGCAGATTTCTATCCCAGCACCCTAATCACTGCATTACTTTTGTATGTTTTCATATTTCTATCCCTTCCCCTTATTTCCCTTTGTATTTCCATTCTGAGGCAATATTGGGCTCCTTATAAATGATTGTTGAATGAATAGATGAATAAATGAATAATTAATAGAGGCATTGGACTTGAGATTCCTTTATGTAATATCCTCTAATCACCTGACTAAATTCTCCTTGTACATAACCCGGGTCTGGGATGGGTGCAGAGTTATGTTGCCATCTTTGTCCCAGAGGAAGCTGTCTTCTGTCCAAATGTAGTAGCCGTTGGTGAGCAGTCTGGGACTTCGGCGACAGGTATGGTGAGAGCCTGTCAGGGGATCTATGGAGCAGCATTCAAAAGAACTGTCACCCTCCAGGAAATCACAGGCAAAACTAAAGAAGGAAAAAAAAACTCCTTTAAATCTCTATCCAGTACATACAGTCACAGGAAAACCACCAATCTCCTTATTGTTAAGGAAAACAACCTCTTTGCATTCATGACTATCAATTACTTACTGCCACCATTAAGAATATCACTCTTAACCTTCTGGGCTTCATCTTCTCACCTATGAGAGCATTGAACTAGAGGACTCTTAGTGCTTCCTTCTGTTTTAAACTTTGATGAAAACACTATGGTTAATCAGTTTCTTCACCATATGATGAACCCATACTCTTGACACTTTCTTGGATGGAAAAATTGCAAAGAAACCTTTCTGAGATGTTGGAAGATCATAGTCCCTTCAACCCTTTTACTTTGAATAGTCCTCCATTTGCTATGTCCTTATTCTTGTCACTGTAATAGAAAAATTATAGCTATGCAGCCACCAGAAATTATAGCTATGCAGCCACATGTTCTCCCTATATAAAGTATAGGGAGAACATGTAGTCAAAGAGATCTTTTTAGCCTTTGCAAATTTACTTCTAGGTTGGCTGTACAAATGGCTACATTCTCTGATTTGGTATCCAGGAAAGTCTCATAATTCATTGAGTAAATCTGTATGTGTCTTAGATTTAAAAAGCAATCACATTGAGCTGGGCGTGGTGGCACGTACCTGTAGTCCCATTTACTAGGGAGGTTGAGGCAGCAGAACTACCTGAGCCCAGGAGGTTTGAGGTTGCAGTGCCTTATGATCATGTCTGTGAATAACCACTGCACTGTAGCCTGGGCAACATAGCAAGATCCCATCTCTAAAAAATAATTGCATGCCTGTATAATCGAAATGCAACCAAAATTATTATGAAGATATTTTGGAAATGTAAAATTTCTTGAAATGAGGTTTGGTCAAAGCCTGGTGGCAACAGTAATAGAGCCATATTGGAGAAAAAAATATGTTATTTCCTCAGGCAAAACCACTTGGTTTTTCCTCTCTTCTCCTACAAAAATTATTATTTTTTTGGTCCTACACCCTAATCATCACTGTGATTTGCGTGTATGTATATCTATCTCAATAATTATTTTATACATTTCTGGAGGGCAGGGCTGTGAGCCTAATAAATGTTCAATATATAAATAAATTCAATAGTAGTTGCTGAATTAAATAATATGACAGGCTATGAAAATCTAGTCTTTAAAAAAATAGTGTCTGAATATATTTAAATTCTTGGGGTGGTTTTTGTCAATCAATCAATACCACGGATACTGTTATATCTCTCATATGCTCTTTGCCTTGATATTTTCTAAAAATTATACATACATTTATCCTATGCAATTGTCTAAATCAGGAGCATATGTTTTCAGAGAATCACAGATTCTAAGAATCAGAAGGAATTTTAATGGTCATGTCTCCAAACCCACCCAATTGTGCTTGTCCCATCTGCTGTATTTCTTTGAATGCATCCAACCTCTAGAAGTCCAATGCACTATCCATTGCACCATGGATCCACCTCCATCTGCTGTATTTCCAACAAACACTGTCCCATCTCTGCTTGTACTCCTTCAGTGATAAGGACCACACACATACTAAGCCACCCTACGCTTCGCTGAGTATGGACTGTAGTGTAATGTAAAAGAGATGGAGTTTGGAGTCATTTCACTGTAAGCCTATAATTTCAACTCTGTCATTGTTTAGGTGGGTAAACTTAATCCAGTCATCTAGCTTCTCCAGCTGCATTTTTATCTGTAAAATGAGAAAAATAATCATCTCCCTTTATGGTGCTGTCTTGACAATTAAACAAGAAAATGAATAGAATGTGCTTGGTGCATAGTATGTGCTTAATAAATGTTTACTTCCTTCCACCCCTTCTTTCCCTTCCTTTTCTGATCCTTCCGTCTTGCATTTGAGAGTTATTCAGCTATTTGAAGAGACTTTCCACATCCTCTCTGGGTCTTCTCTTACTGATACTAAAAGTCTTCCAGTTCATCTAACTCACCCTTGTATGACACAATGTGGTTTTGATCCCTTCACTATTATAGATTGACTACTCTTCTCTGAGGATTTTCCAGTTTTTAAAACACCCCTTAATGTATTACCCCTTAATGGGCAAGTATAGAGCCCAAGCTTTTAGGTGTGTGTCTGCCAAGAGGAGATTGAGACTACCACCTTCTTCATTATAGAATCCATGTCTTTAGGGATGATGTTTAAATCACGTCAGCGTGATTCTTTTCTCTCCCCTCCCGCCCCCCCCCCCGACGTCACAAAAATGCTGTTACCCTACTGAATTGATTGCCAATTTTTAATCTTTTACCCATATATTTATAGGTCATACTTATCCTCTTCTGGACTTTTGAACCAATTTTGTCTTAGAAAGTCAATATATAATAAAGACTTTGCATCTGGATAGAGCTAGGTTTATACCCTGGGTTTCAATTCTGGTTCTACCTCCTGCTAAATTGCTATTCTCTCCAAGGCTTAGTTTCTTATAAATGGGAATCAGTACAATAAGTATTATCCAAAACCAACCTCATAGGTTATTAAGGCCTATGCCTTTCATAGCCTATGTGCTATAAGCTAAATTTGTTGGCTATCATTTGAATAAGCCCACAGGATTACACTCTTATAATTTTGATGAATTTTGATTATATTACACAACATTTTTAATATCTTTACATGATGTCACCCAAAAATGTTATCATTGGAATCTATATGTTCTTAATCTAAGTCATTGATGAAAATATTGAATAGTACAAGAAGAGATCTGAGATTTGGGAAACACCAGAAGAGACTACTTTCCAGACACGCACTTACCTACTTTATCGGCACATTTTGGTTATTGTTACCCTATTAACAGATAAGAAAATGGAGACTCCAGTAGGAGTTAATTGCTCAAGATCTCAAGGCTATGAGTGGGAGATGCAACGTGAGAATCCAAATCTTCTGTCTTCTACCCTACTACGTTTTCCTACATCATTTTGTGTCCCCAAAAAGTAATGGGACAACTAAAATGTGTTGGATGCTTAGGAAGGTACAGAGTTCTGGACCTGTATTTCTATCTGCACTCCAGTCTCTGAGATTTCAACATCCAACAGTTATCACCTGTAGCCTCCCTAGCCCCCTAGAAGTATTCCTTTTTAATGTCCCTAACTTTGTTCCTCCACTCTTGGTCGTAAACAAAATGAAGACACTTTTCCAACACTTGGCTTATAGTAAAAAAGAGATTCTTCTCAATAATCTCGAACTATTAAGAGTGGATAACAAAATTATCTCTAGATCTTGATTCCTGCTTCATTCTACTATAATAATCCTAGTGCTGATTCTTTTGAGTAGGTCCTTTCCAGTTGGTTTCAGAAGTCCAACCCCACCCGAAGCCCAGCCAACTTGCTCAAATGCCCAAAGACAAAGCCCTTTCTCATCTTGTGAGGTTACTAACTAGGCCTTTGAAAAGTCTACAGCTCATGCCTGCTGTGATAGCACAAAGAGTGGTTGGTGAAGGGACAAATATCATCAGGACCTTTAAAATTTTTGTATATCATTATTTACACATTGATAGATTGCAAAATGTCTCTTGTCCTTCTATACATCTCCTTACTGCACTACTGAATTTCTGATTTTTTTTCATTTAAAAGCCTACATGTAATTAATATATGCATGGAAGTTAGTATTAAAATACTATTTCAAATGAATTTTATTTATTGAACACTTACCATGGGTCTGGGCCCACACTTTGTACTTTATCTACTCTTCACAAATCTCTCTAAAAGCTAAGTATCATTATTATCCTCAATGTAGCAAGAAAAAAATGAGGCGCAAAAGGGTAAATTACTTGGATATTTTATACAGCTAGTAAGTGGCAGAGGTAGGATATGAACCCTAGATTATCTGACTCTAAAACACGTGCTCTTTTCACATGTTCTATTTGTTCATCTTTAGCTAATTCATTTGGTAATATCAAGAGCCCTAGAACTTACAAGAAAAGGATCAGGTCCTAAAATCAATGCATGATCGTTTTATACTACCAGAACATTTCCTAAAATACTAGGAGAAACATCAGCTGATGTCTGCATAAGGAATAAGAGACAGAGAGTCAGAAAAAAGAAAGAAAAAGAGACTCTATTGCAGTACTTGAACAAAATGGTGGAATGTATATGTCTTAGTGGAGCATATAATTTGGTCAACTTGTGCATTAGTACAGAATCCTGTTGCTCTTGTAAAGTGAGATAGGAAAGCACATTTAAGGGAACATCAATTTGAGAAAACATAACTATTCATCAGTACTCAATGGTTGTGTCACTCACCAGAAAAACAATTCACACTTGCCCCACCCCCCACACACAATCCATTATTACATCAGGCAGGTTTTCATTCTGTGTATGCATAGGACTAAAAATATATAGCCATACCAAAACTAGATGATAGCTAAAATACAATTTTTAAACAAGGGATACAATAAAATGAGTCATACAGGGAAAGAATTTGATTGCTTTTTGAGAAAAGCCCCATGGAATACCTTGGGAAAATGCATGTGGCAGATAGCTCTTCAGCATATTCTCTCTCCAACTCGGAAGAACCTGCATGAACACATGAGGGGAAAATAGAGGTTTAGCACATCTCACCAGCATGCAACACTGTGGACAGCGGAGCATGTAAGAAGGTGGGAAGAGCCGATGCCCTAGCCTCTGCAGAAAGACCAACTAGAGCAGCTGCCCACTGCATCAGTGTAATACGACTTGTCACCAGGGCTCCACAGGAAGCAAGAAATACTCTTGGAGATTCTATTGCCTGTCCCTTCTCACACATAACGCTCCTTTAGAAGTTCCTTAGTGCAAGATGAGGCAATAATAAATCATTAGCATCAAAATGAGCTCATGAAAAGAAGAAAACACCTTGTGTGAAGCTGGAGAGAACCCAAATCAATTATCCAATGTGTTGGTTACTGTAGCTTACTCAGTAATCTGAGGAATTCAATCATCATCCCAGATTCTCCCTCATTAGTGCATTTGAAGACACTTTTACTGTAGAATAATGAGCAAAAGATATTAATGGGGGAAAATAAGGTTTTGTTTTGTTTTATATATGACTTTCCAATGTATGAAGCCTGTGAGTAAGTACTCTTAATTAGTACAAAAAAGTATCCATTCATTGATTCCATTTTAACCAAAGGCATGGCAATAGACTTCACTTGGGGGAAAGTTACAGTTAATTAATATTCTAAACTCTAAAGCAGAATTTTATAATGTACAGTGATGCCATCAATACTTTCTAATAGACAGGCTCTGTGAAACTTGATTCCATTACTAACAATATCTAGGACAAAGAAAGGAATGTAGACTTTCAGATTCAGCGGGTTGATTTGTAAGGCGAAAATTGTGGGTGTATGAGGGAGGGTTAGAAATGGGGTTTGGGAAGAAAATAACAAGAGGAAGGAAGAAACTTGAAACCACTACCGTTTTAACAACGCCCTTATTTTCTGCAAGTAGCTATCAAAATCATTCAGCATTTTTTATAGACAAACAGTTTTGCATCTTAATAGTAGCTGATAAACAATCTCCTTTCACATTTATGCACAGGCGTCTAAAAAAAACCGGTAATTTTTTTTTTCTACTAAAAGGAAAAATACCACATTTCTCTCAAGGAAAGAAATGAAGTCAAAATCATTGCCAAAGTGAACACTGGCATTTAAGAAGCGCAAGCTACTGACAGATGGTTAATGGTCTGAGTATCAGCAAAATCAAAGCAAGGAAATTGCTAAAAGGAGTCTAATCGTTCAAAAGATAATTGCGTATAGCAGTTCTCCTACATTTACTTGCTACTGGTGTTGACATCAGTTGAGATATTCGGTACATCTTGGGAAGGCCGCTTGTTCAAACTTCACAGAGTCTCTGCAAAAGATGATAAAAAAAGGTGGACTATATATTAAAAATAGAAAAATTATGCCAAAACAGATGGCATCTACTAATTGCACTAGTTGGATTTGTCTACTGAAATAATACAGAGATAAAGAATTGAAGGCAGGAAACTAGACTGAAGACACAACTTCATTAAGGTTGCGTCTGCCTCCACGACTTTGTATTCCATCTTCCATGGTCTCAGTGCATCTAAATAATCTTTTTCTGTAAATAAGAATAACACTTTATTTGGAAAAGCTAGACTTACAAAGGTTGATTTGTAATCCAAATAAAATAATGAAAGTGAGTTATCTGATGAAGAAATCTGAAAAATGACTGGTTCTAGAGCCCCCAAACAAACTTTTTTATATTTTAATCAGTCAATGCAATTAACCTCCTTATCAAGTTTCAGACAGTGCTTGGAGATTGGTACCTGTTTTTTGCCTAACAACTTGAACCATTGACAGGTAGTCACAGAGAATGTTTCTTTGTAGTTGTTATCAGCTTTTTATCAGCCTGAACATTCCTAAACAGTATAAACAGCATTGTACTAAAAATAGTTTACCACCGGCCAGATTTCAGAACTTGGTTCCCATGAACATATAATTTCCTTTCTTAATTACAAATCAAACACGTATCAAAGTGTGCAAATTATGTAAACTTTGATTCTTTACTTCTTATCAAATAGAACCACCTTCTGTTGACTATTGAACTTTGTGTATAGTATCATTATCATAATAGCTTTATAAGGTAGTACTAAATTATTTTATGATTCACCACCTCTATCCACATCTTGTAAGATAATAACTAGTAATCGATTGTTTTTGTAGCTGTAATACAACCAAACCAGGCTAATTCTATAGCTCCAAATTATTTCAATAAATTATAAACCAACTCTGCTAGAAAATGTAGAACCTAGTTTATGGAGACCTTTAAAGATGTCAGGAAGCTTTCCGGCATTCCTTGGAAGATGTCTAAATCAAAGCACACATTTATAGATTTCATTTGTTTAGGATATAAACTAATATTGTTTTATATATATATATATATATATTAGTATTTACTTGTCCTTTTCATTTTCAATCAATATTCTGTGAATATGCCCACCGCAAATTATCCTATGTTAGTTTTTCCTAAGCATTAAGCTTAATTTTAAGCCAACAAATCCTGCGGCAGAAAGCAAGGTCTTATTGTTCCATCTTACAAATGCTTGCAGCAGTCTACAAGCAGTACACTGACAGTTAATTGAAAATTAGAAACAATGAGAGAGAAAAAAAAACAACTTCAGTTACATCTCTAAAACTTTTCAAGAAACAGACTCAAGCAATTCCATCAAAGCAATACATCTGTTCTAAAAAATATTTGCCCATACATGTTCCTTCCAAAGGGAGTTCCCAGTCTCTTCTTCCAATTCATAAATGACAAAATGATAACTAAAATACAAAGCTTCCTGTGATTGACAGCAGAGAAATCAAGGACTGAGCAGTTCTGAAACTGAAAAATGTCAGAATGTCAACAGGTGCAGAAATCTCTTAATAATGGGAATCCCACCTTCCCTTCTGGTAGATGGCTGCACACACTGCCATGTGCAGGCATTTGCAGAGAAGTTTTGTCTTCAGCAGTCTCTTGTTCTTTTGGCTGTTTCCTGGTACAGACGAGCATATAGTTCCTGGGAAAGCCAGTCTTGCAAACCCCTCTTGTTTTCTTTCAAAAACAGCCTGCGTAACCAGAGGCAGAGAAGCAGAATGAGGTCACACTTCCTGTTGGGCTCACATCGGTGGCATTTGCGCTGAGGATCATGGTGAAGATTTAAGATAGTCTCCTGGGCTAACAGAAGTGAATGTACAGCCCATGAGTCAGGCCAGCTGGGTACACGATGGCCACTGGAGGGATGTTTTTGTGAACTAGCTTGCCACTCCTATCTGCAAGAACATGAGAAAAACTTTCAGCCAGGTGACAATTCTTAATCATCATCTTCTGGCCACATTTGCTTATATTAAATAAGTAGTGCATGGCAGTGCTCTTTGTCAAAATCACTTAAATTTATTGAGGATGATGCACTGATGCTATTAAATTCAGAATACCTTTAAATAGCAGGAGTCTGGTCTTATGAAAATTTCTGTAGTGGCAATATGTTGATCCACCAAAGGTTGAGCTTTACAGAAAACTCTATGGATGGCATTTTACATTTTATATTTATATTTTAGTAGAGCTGAAAGACTTGATACTATTCATGGGTCCCTACACATCTGTGCTATTCTAAGTGATAAAAGAAATATGCATTCCAGCAACACTGAGGTAGACTAAGTAGTGAAAAGAGCATGGGTTTTGGAATCACACAGACTGAAATTCAAACTGCCAGCCATCCTACTTTATGACCTCAGATTCGAGACTTTGAGTTGCATCTCAATTATAAATGTAATAACATATACTTCACAGGATGGCTTGGAGAATTAAATGAAATAAAAGATATGAAAAAGAATCGAATCCTCAGCACAGATGTGTAAGATGTAAGCGTTATTTGTTTTCAGTAAGTCAATTTCTCTTCTGAGGCACCAGTTGGCCAGAATGGCAGAAAAGTTAATCTTGTCCTTTCTTGGGATTCCCTTCCCCCCCTGAGATTATACCATATAGCAGGAACTTTTATGAAACATATCCCAGGCAATAGAATCTATCAGGAGGAAGGCCAGTCTAATTTTAAGATGCCCTGCCTCCTGAACTTCATATACTTGTCTAAGCCCCTCCCCTTGAATGTGAGCTGAAGCTAATGACCTGTTTCTTGTAAATAGGTGCTGGGTTGCCACTCCGTGATTAGGCTTCTGTCCTGCTGGACTCTCTCTATTACCTTCTTGGCTTGCCCACTTCGAGGAAGCCAGCTGCCACGGCAGAGAAGCCCACACGGCAACAATCCAAGAGTTGTCTCAAAAGCCAGTAAGGACTGATGCCCTCGGTCCAATAACCAGGAATCCAGCCAGGACCCACGTGTGTGAGCTTGAAAGTGGATTCTTCTCCAGTTGAGCCTTGAGATGATTCCAGCCCCAGCCAGCATCCAATTGTAGCCTATGAAAGACCCAGAAGCAGAGGACCCAGCTTAAAACCCTGCACAGATTCCTGGCCTATGTAAACTGGAAGATAATATATGGTGTTTCAAGCCACCGAGTTTTGAGATAATTTATTGCACAGCAATAAATAACTAATATACAGTCCTAATAAATGTTCTCTCCTGAGCCATCTGACCACTGGTCAGTGGTTCTCTGTTGCTTTAGTGCCTCCCATAGAATAGAGGTATGTTTATTCAAGGCTGTCTCTGTGTGCAACTGCCTGGACTTACGGGACAGCCATTCTGCTCTATGACTGTGCTGGGAGTCTGCTGTCCTCTTTCTAGTAATTTGTGGCTCTTTCCTTCTTCTTCTCTTCTTCCTGTTCCCCCTACTCCTTAATCCTCCTCCTCCTCCTTGCAGCCATGGCTAATCTCTTCTAGGTGACTGGGAAACTCTTTCTGACTTCTTCAATACCCTCTGCTCTCCCTGTACCCACAAATCCACTTTTCCAAAGAGCTCACATCAGAAAGACTTTGGCCTATTTCTTTAAAGGTCTGGCACATATTAGGGCCTCATTATTAATGGTTATAATGATTGCTAACTCTATGAAGTCCTTACTATGTGCCAAGCACTGTTCTAAGCCCTTTCCAAATATCAGTACATTAATCTTCATAACGACCCCAGGAGAGAAGCTCTATTATTATCCCCATTTTACAGATGAAACTGAGGCACAGAGAGTTAAATATCTTGCCCAAGTCACAGAGCCAGTAAGCAGTGAGTCATTAGAGCTAGGATTCAAACCCTGGCAGGACAGCTCCTGAGTTTGTATTTTTAACCTGTAAATAATAAATGATCATATCCCATGTGTTCAAGCATTTCCTATGATCCAGGCATTTCACTAAACATTGTACATACCAGATTTTGTTTCAACCTCACACAGCCCTAGAAAATACGCACAGTTATTATCTACACACAGGACAGAAGTTCAGAGAGTTTACACAAATCTCTCAACATTGACAGGGCCCAGGGCTAGAATTCCAAGTCTGCGGCTCTGCTTCACTCTCCTCTCTTCAGATGCATTTGTCTCCTTGTTGTGCCTCAAACACTAGACACGGGCCTACTTTGAGATCTTGGAGCTTAGTGTTCCCCCTGCCCCAGAATGTCCCATAAAGACCACGGGACTTTCTTCCTCCACAGCCTTGCTGCTAACTAGATTGCCATCCACACCGCTCCCTATTCTATATCTGCTTTACCCTTCCCTCAGCACTTTTCACCATGCCACATGCCATGCAGTTTATTCTTCGTAGTGATAAACATCCTCCTAGAAGCTAGAACATAAGCTTCAAAAGGGCAGAGAATATTGTCTCTTTATCATTCCTACAGCCCCAGTATCGAGAATAGTGCTTCCCATGTAATAGGTTAACAATAAATATTTGTAGAATCAACAAATAAATGAATTAAACCCAGGTAGATCTGACTTGAGAGCCTTAATTCTGCATGCTCTAAATGAGTGTTTCTAAAAGTAGCTTCTGCAGAATGCTCAATGCTCTGCTACTATCAGAGCTTATGTGTGTGGATGGAGAAAGACTGAAGTGGTAAATTTAAGTACAAAAGTCCTAGAAAACAGAGGTGTCTTTAATGGAGGTCACTATGGGACCTTTTCAATGATATTAGCCTGCAAGTGACTATGTGCAAGGAAGATGGTCTCACCATTCCCCAAAACCATTTGCCCTGGGAACCTTTCCGTCACATAACATCTCCTAAGACTGGTGCTCCCGAGCTGAGTTTTGCAAACTTTAATGTGCTGTGAATCACACAGGACCTGGTAGGCATAAGTAGGTCTGAGGTAGCATTCCTGACCTGCTCCTTGGGAAAGCCAACTGCTGGCCCATAGGACACTCTTTTGACAGGTAGGAGGCTAAAGAACACATTTTGGGAAATGCTGACATAATTTGGTGAATTTGACGAATTCATTTAAAAATACTATAAGCAATAAGCAAACACACCTGCATACTTGCTTCAGTCCTTCATGCACTCAGGCTCTCCCTTCTACCCAAACCTCATCCTCCTCTGGGACTTGGTGTCCCCTTAGACAGCATCCCTTCCACCCAATCGCTCATGCAGGAACACTGGAGAAATCACAGTTACTCCCCATGTGGCTCTCAAATGCAACACTCTTTCTGTCTCCACTGTTTCCTCTGAGGCTCCAACTGCCACTTTGTCTTGCCTGGACTTCTGTACCAACACACTGTCACTTGGCCTCTCTCCAATACACCCGCCAAGCCATGGCCAGAGCAATCTTTTCAGTATGAATGTCTAATTATGTCTCTCCTCTGATTAAGTCCTTCAGTGGTGTACCCAATGTTGCTCTCTCACAGAAAGCTCAAAACCCTCTTTATGGCCTGCTAGGCCCTCAGGGCATAGTCCTGCCTATTTTCCAGCCTGGCCTTTTCTTCCACTTGCCTCATTTTCCTTTTAGAATCCCACCATACTGACATTCCTCCACCTTCTCTAGCCTGCTCTACCTCAGACCCACAGCAGGCCCTTTGCTATTCCCTTTGTCTCCTATCTCTTTCCCTGAGAAGCCTCTCCAACCCTCCCAGACCAAGTTAAAGGTCTCAGAGCTCTTTTCCTTCAGAGTATACATCACAATTGCAGTTAATGAAGCAAGTTTTGATTGATGTTGGTCTTCCCTCCAGTCCTGTGAGCTTTGAGAGAATAAGGACCATGCTTTTCTAGTTTGCTATTAGTTTTTATGATGAGCATAGAGTCAGGTGCACAGTGGCCACTTAATAATACATGAATAGGATTTTCTATCATCTAAGTCTGGCTGGACTCTTTGCCACACGTAGCACAGAACTTTATGGGGGCTAGATGGGGATATATGGGCTAGAGACTGGATAGGCTAATAATCTGGAAGGAGCTAGAGGCTAACCATTTTATCACAACAATTCTGCCATAGTAAAAGTCAACCTCCACATCTTAGTGGCATACGGCAATAAATTTTTATTTTCCCACATGGTGGCTTGTAATATGTCAACTTTCCAGAGCTGAAATACATTCCCAGAATGCCTTTTCTTGTATACTCCTGGCTGGGATGGGCCATAAGAGCACTGTGTGCAAGGTTTGGAAGGTAAAAGTAGATAGGATAGGAGCTGAGTTTGTTCCTGGAAGGTCTGTGTAGGTCAGACTTGGTTGCAGCTCATGCACTTCTTCCCAGATCTGCTGGCTCACTGTATGGACTCAGTCCAAAGCTCCAGTCCCCAAGATCATTTCCTTCAGCTTCACAAACCCTGGTCTAGGAGTGGGACTGGCTCTGCAGCAAGAGCACCAACTTCTCTGCAAAGTATCCCGGGCAATGAGGGTGGAGGCTCAGAGACAGGAAGGGGCCAGGGTGGCTTTCAGTGATAGACAGGAGCACGTTCTAGCTTGTTCTTTGTGGATTCCAGTTTTCCCTGCTCTCTCCTATTTCCTGCCCATCTTTTGATTCTAACCCACTGTCCTGCGACTTCAGGTTCAGCACTCCTCCTAAGAAACAGCCAAACTGAACTCTTTTATCAGTGTCCAAAATTGTATTAAGGTTCAATCCCTGTCTTAAACAATGGCACATTCTATATCACTCTTCGTGATTCTGGTTCTCTGCTTGAATCTAACACACCTTTTCCTGTGTTGGCTGAAAGTTGCTGGTAGCTTTGCTCCTTGTGCCATCATTCCAGAAGCCAGGCTGGAGGATAAGGCCTTGTGAGGGATATCACCTTCTTGATGCAGAAGGAAAAGGACAAGAGAGCTGGCAGAAACACATGTGGCCTTTCAAGCTTTTCAGGACTGACATCTGACATTTCCACTCA